TGAAGGTTGTGAATTATGAATAGCCATTTGGCCGCCCTGTAACTATTAAGCTCATTTGAGAATTCATGAAAATAAATACATCTTAAGGGGTAAGGATTCCTCACCACTCACTTTTCACATTGAACCAATTCACTCAGTAAGTATAGCTGCTCATATGGGTGCCGGCCACTGCACACATATTACAAGCACTGGAACCTGCTATCACCCTGTGTGTTAGACAATGATCTATAGAGATAGGTGTTAGGATCCTGCACCACAGTGTCTGTATTACAGTACTGGCTCTGCTCCTGATTCTACCTTCCTGCTGGGTGCACCGTTGGAGGCAGCAGGCAATGTCTTTACTGGGTGGGAGACCCAGATTGAGTTCCTGCCTCTGGAGAATGAATCCACAAGTGGATTCATTCATTCATCCTGTGTGTCGCTCTGGCCTTTTTTTTCTGCTTCTCAAGTTATATACTTAAATAAATAATTTTTTAAAAACAGTGAAGTATGCCATTTGCTTTCATGATCCAATGTGAATGACTTTTCTTCAGTCCTACTGTCATAACTGGTATCCATAAATTCGCTTCAAGTCCCAGGTCTTAGTTTACTGAATTTAAAAAATACTTGTTAACAATTGGTGGTTCTGATAAAATTTGCATTTTTTTCATATTTGGAAAATGAAGTGACTTGATAATTTGTGATGATCCAGGGCATAGGACATAGATAAAATGGTACCAGCGTATCTTGATGCCCTATCAGAAAGTAAACATGAACAGAAATCATAAAGTGTTTCTAGTTAACCTGAGAGGTAAGTAAAATGGCATGAGGTAAAAGCAGCATATTTCTATTAAAAATCTGTTACTAGCAATTAACACATCAACACCTATTGTGCACTTTCAAGAACCATACATAGTATTGTAAATATACTTCTATTAGACCTCTAAAACTCCTCTAGATGGGGGAAAGAGACTTTGTTAAAGATCTAAAGTACACTCCTCCAGGAGATACAAAGCCAGAAATAAAATATCATATGAATACTACTTAAAATGTACAGTGTGGGAAGCTAATGACCCAACATGTGTACCTTACTGGAAAAAAATACTATTCCCATGTGCTCTGAGATATAAAATGTTTTTGGGTTGGGTTAAAAGTTGTGTACAGGCACAAAGACATTTTACAGTTTTAGGTATTATAATGTTCATTGGAAATATAGCTTGAGACATTCCCTCCAGGAACTACTTCAACAAAGATAGTATTTACAAGCAGGCAAGAAAATTTCTTCAAAGCTAGTCTTGGATTCTATTCTACAACGAGTGAGCATCTGCTAAGTCCTTTAGTACTATTGTTAGACATATAATATAGGCAGAATTACTTTGGAATAACCTCTCTGGATATTAAAAACTGATTGACGTATTATTTGCTTTTGAATGTACATGATGAACAAGATTCACAAAGGTTACCCACATACCTATATTTATGTTTCAGAAAGAGTTTGTGGAAATTCTGGATTTCAATGACAGTTATCTCTTGTCAGTGAACTCCAGATTTCTAGGTAAGAGGACAGTTCTCTTATGGGGACAGAATTATTTCCACTTTCTTCTTGAGATTGCTCCTTTTTTCTCGTCATCATTAGACCTTTTTTATGAATCCAGGTTAAAATTTTTACATCCTGTTTCATAGTCTGTGTTATGCTTTTAGTTTTTATTTTTCAGTTTTTTTTTTTCTGCCTTTTGGCAGTTTTTCCAGTTGGCTTTTAAACTTTTTGAAAGCTACCTCTGCAAGCTCACTTTGATATCTCCCATGGGGTCAAGTTCAATGTCAGTCCTTAGAGAAGGCTTTTGATAAATGTGTTCTAAATGGACTCAGCTTTAAAACTGATCACAGATTACCTCAGAGGCACTTTCTGAATGGAAGTTAGCTTTTAGTTCCAATAAGTTAACTATGATAGGAGAGACATTATTGAATAATATAGCAGAGGGTTTTTTTCAAATTTATTTATTTTTAAAATTTTATTTACACAAGTTTCATGTATCTCATATGCAGATTTAGGAACAGTGACACTTCCCCCACTCTCCCTCCTTCCAATGCTCTTACCTTTCCTCCTCCTCTTCCCCCTCACATTCCTACTCCTAATTTTACAGAGGTCTGTTTTCAGTTTACTTAATGATCATATAGTTACCCCTACACTAAGTAAAAGAGTTCAACAAATAGTAAACATAAGATACTGTCTTTTTGGGACTGGCTTATTTCACTAAGTATAATGGTTTCCAGTTGCCCAGAAGACAGGATTTCATTTTTCTTTTTACATCTGAGTAGTACTCCATAGTGTGTGTATGTATATGTGTGTGTGTGTATCATAATTTCTGTATCCAGCCAAATTTATTTTTTTATTTGAAAAGCAGGAAGATGTATGGATAGAAGGAAGGAAGAGAGGGAGGGAAGGAGGGAGGGAGGGAGGGAGTGGAGAAAGAGGAAAGAAAAGAGGAAGAAAGGAGAGGAGAGGAGAGGGGAGGAGAGGGGAGGGGAGGAGAGAGAAAAGAATTGATCTTCCAACCATGGGTTCACTACTCAAATGGCTGCAACAGCTGCAACTGGGCCAAGCTGAAGCCAGGAGCCAGGAGCTCTGTTCAGGTCTCCCTTGTGGGTGCCAGGGATGCAAGTGCTTCATCAATAATCCACTGCTTCTCAGGAACATTAGCGGGAAGCTGTATCAGAATAGGATGACACTCAAACTGGCATTCGGAAGTATCCTGAGATGGCTTAAGCTGCTGCACTATGATACCTGCCTCAAATGTAGCATTTTTTTTTTGCTGCCCATAACTAGAGAATTATTGTAGTTCAAATGAGGAAAAAGTGTGTGGAGGAGGTACTGGACTAAGAACTGAATCTCGTCCCAGCTCCATCAGTGAGTTCTTTCAGGTAACCAACCACTGTCCTCTGCCTTTGTGGAGGGTCTCCTGGAGATACTGTTCACTTGTCCTTCCTCATAGAACTGTGGCTACAATCACATGAAGTAGTGAAGTAGCACTCTGAACCCCATAAGTCACCATAAAAATGTGCAGTATCATTATACTATCTCTTCACTATGATGCCCTGAAAATTATAACACAATGTTGTTCTAAGATCCTAGTCCACTCCCTCTATGTTGAAATGGCAAAAAAAAAGTTCTTATTTCTTATTAAAAAAAAAATGAGAGCCTGGAAATCCTATTCTAAAAAATCAAAAATCAAAAACCATGCTTATACTCTGAATCAGATCCCGATAGAACCAAGGTAATCTTTGTATATTGAGGGTATGCACCTGCGAAGCCCTATGCTGAGAGCATTAAGCGTGCTGTCTCAGTTAATCCTCAGCACAGCCCTACAAAAGGGGACAGTATGGTTATGCTCACTTTGTAGCTGAGGAAACTGTGGTTTAGACGGAAGTGTTTGAGGCTACAAAGATCAACAGGAGCAGAGCCAGACTGGATCCACATCTGTCTTCCTTGATTAGTAGTGTTCTTCCCTTTTTTTCTATCTTGTCAATTCTGTTAACAAAGACGCAGTCAGTTCCATCCAAATCCACGGGGAATAAAATAGAGCACTAGGAATCATATTGCTTCATATCAAATGGGTGAAAAACACCTATGGAATCACATTTATATTTAGAGGTATTTAAGGAAAATTTTAGAATCTTTGCAGCTAAACAGCTTTTAAAATACTAATCAATGATGGAAAATAAATTCCAAACTACACTTCTTTAATGAGCTATTGCTTGATTAGACATACCTGAGGCAGTGTACGAACTTTCCAAGTGTGTAATTTATGTTATAATGTCAGAATTTTGTTTTCTAATATAACATTTGAATTATATCTTCCATTTAAAAATAATATTACTCTATGAAATAATAAGTCCAATTGCTGAGACTGTTATAAACTGGCAGTGTATATGAAGTTTTCTCTTGAAAAATTACAGGATAGTTACAAGGCAAAGAGGCTAAATCATTTATAACTGCATAGGTTAATAGAAAAACAAACTCTGACATAGTCAGAAATGCACTTCTAATTTGGTAGTTTTATGTGATTTGAGAAAAAGAATGTTTATTAAAAAGAAAATAAAGCATGTTATATTTTGGTTAATGAGACTTGGGACCTATAATTGTATAATGTTTTAAAATAAGTCCGGGGCGGCACTGTGAGGCAGTGGGTATAACTGCTGCCTGCAGTGCTGGCATCCCATGTGGGCACACATTTGAGTTCCAGCTGCTCCTGTTATTAGTCCAGCCCTCTACTATGGCCTGGGAAGGCAGTAGAAGATGGCACAAATGCTTGGGCCCCTGCACCCACATGGGAGACCCAGAAGAACCTTCTGGCTCCTGGCTTCGGATCAGCCTAGCTTTGGCCCTTGTGGCCGGTTGGGAAGTGAACCAGTGGATGAATGGATCTCTCTCTCTCTCTCTCTCTCTCTCTCTCTCTCTCTCTTTCTCTTTCTCCCTCTCTCTCTCCTTCTCTCCCTCCCTCCCTCCTTTAGTCCTTCTCTCTCTCCCCTCCCTTCTTCCCTCTCTCTACCTCTTTATAACTATGCCTTTCAAATAAATAAATAAATCTTTTTTAAAAAAGTCCATAAAATTAGTTTGATTCTTAATTGTATTTTGTCAATGGACAGCTCTGAGTATTACATGAAGAGCTTTGAAAATTCTGACATACTACACCATTTTTATATTCTGTCTTTTCTTCTAGAATCTACTACCAAGACACATTTATTTCCACTTGCTGCTGTAGACTTTTTGTACATTTCCCATCAATGTGATGTGAATTGTGTGTTAGTCACTAAGGAGAAATAATAGAACCATCTTGTTCTCACCCCTGAAATCTCTCCTTTGTTGTCTCTTCAGCTCTTGTCACAGTGAAACATATAGCAGATCATAGTTTTAATAACAAAAATGGGTAACTTCAAAAAGTGGTTCTAAAGGCATATTTGGGGTAAAAATTGTTTTTGAATGGAAATTTTTAATTTTGATTATAACGTTTTAGTGTAATTATATTTAGTGTATTATAACTGCTCTGCTGATTCTTTTAAGAGAACTTGGAGCTATTGACTCCAGCAAATATTCATAATAGATCTATTATACAAGTAATACAAATTTTCAGGTAACTCAGAAATATATACTTTGTCATAACCATGCCCCAAATTCAAGATCTGAATGTGAATCAGAAGTGGATTCTTCAAAACGTTGGTCACTGGATAGATTGTATCAAGTTCCATTTTATATGTAGAGCCATAGCTGTATTTTTAAAAAGTAACAGAATTGGCAACACAAAACTGAAAAACTATTACCATACTTAGATTTAGAAATTTTATATCCTAGTTGCTGTTATGTTAAAAGTCAGAAAAATTGTTTATTCTGTGCATACTATTAGCTAGTTTCATAAGGCATAAACGTAATTCTAGATTATAACCAAACAGTTCATACATAAAATGAATATTATTGCTTTGAGATATTTTTATAATTTTCATAGTGAAATTCAAAGTATCTTATTCTTGCTTCACCTAGCCTAAAACCATTGATCCTTTTCTCCCTCATCATATTGCTATCAAACAAGCTGCCAGCATCCACACACCTAAATGTAGCTTCCAGATGTTGCTGAAGAAGTATGCTCAGGGTCTCTAATGCCTTTCAAAGGTTTGTAAGAATATACATTTCTGTCTTTTATATTCAAAGAAAACTACGATGCTGACTGGGATACCCAAGTGGGTTATATGCCTTTGTTCACTCAAGAATGAAACCACGTATGTGTTTATAATGCCATTTTCACCTTCTCTGTTTTTGATCTACATATTTTCATACAATATTTGAGAAACTCCATGGCATTTCCCCATTCCCTTCTCCAGTGGGAGCTAACAGCTGCTATAGTATAGGAAAGTGGAAGTTGGAAATGTTTTTTCTAAACGGACGATGGGTCTTTCTACTAGAGTGATTTAATTCTGGGGACTTTTGTTAGGCAGTCACCATGTACTGGTTCCCATAATGGAAGGAAAAAGTAAATACAGAGATGGTTCTGGCCTTCAAGGAGTAGTGGTGATGTAGTAGTTAAGATTGATGTAGAGGGGAAGCTATTGTAATCCATAAGCTGTACTTTGGAAATTTATGTTCATTAAATGAAATATAAATATAAAAAAATTGATGTAGAAACAAGCAGCATTTTTCAAACCAAAAAATGCAAGACAGTTACTTTCTGTAAAAGCAACTTAGATAGCTGTGCCCCTCTATATAACCAATAAGAATTATATTAATTATTCTTTCAATATAAAGGAATCTACCTGTGCAGAAATAAATTATTTGACCCCCAAATTATGGAAATGAATATGTAATAACTTAATCAGGCTTACATATTCCAGTTAGTATTTTCTCATGCAGAGTAGTCACCTCAGTAACTATGCAGTACTCCTTAGGTTAGAATATTACTAGATCTCGGGGTCAGCTTTGTAGCATAGCAGGTTAAGCCGCTGCCTGCAACACCAGCATCCCGTGTGGGCACCGGTTCGAGTCCTAGCTGCTCCACTGCCAGTCCAGCTCCCCACTAATGTACCTGGGAAAACATCAGAAGATGGTTCAAATGCTTGGGCTCCTGCATCCACATGGGAGACCCAGATTTGTCTTGGCACAGCCCTGGTCGTTGTGGCCATTTGGGGAGTGAGCCAGCAGATGGAGAATCTTTCTATCTCCATCTCTCCCCCCCTCCCTCTAACTCTGCCTTTCAAATAAATAAAAATCTTTTTTAAAAAGCATATTACAAGATCTCTTCTGACTGATTTGCCTGCAGAAATGATTCACTTTACTGTCAGACTTATGAGTGTCCAATTTTTATTAGTAGTATTTCAGGCAAAATTGCTAACCCTCCCTCTTTGCAAATTAAAGATAGGTTAAAGAAACATCACTTGTCTTTATTTCACTATATGGTGGAGTTATTGAGCCCATTATTAGAATTCAGGATATATCTGTTAGTATATAAGGCTTATGTCTGCACACGTTCACTGATCTCGGTCGACCGTTCACTTAGACCACTAAACCTGGTCTGGGCTCAAGGATTGGCACAAATGAAAACTCAGACTGTTTTTAAAGTTGTTTTCACTTAGGTTTACTAGCAAACCAATAGACAGATAGCACAACAAGTAAGAACACAATATAAGTCATTGGAAGCCGTCCCTCTGTTCCTCGTATTGGTAGTAGTCAGTGCAATCCCTGCTCCATGAGAACTCCACCTGGAGAGAGCAGTCCAGAACCAGGGGCTTTGCTCATTAGAAGGAAGGGTGCTTGCCTGTCACCATAGACAGTCTCTGCCAGAATTGCCATTATGTAATCGTAGGTTCGTATATTTTATTGCATCATCAGATCTAATGCTGGTTTTCAGAATGGTGTTTGAATTTCTGAGAGACTGTAGCTATCCTACTTCTCTTCCCCATGATCCCTTGTTTGATTTAGTGACTCCTGGTCTGCTTGTTTGTGGTTTAAGAAATGCCCATGGTCTGCTTTTGTCATTCAGGGTATTTATTGAGTACCCACTTTTGGAAAACACTGTACTCAAATGTAATGCTATAACATTTAAGTCATGTGGATTCTCCTTCAATGGAGATATTTTGACAGATAAAACTTTTAGAGAGAAAACAATTCCACATAAAAGTATAAAAAGCATTCTCATTTTCATATTATTTGGGGAAATATTAAGTAAGGAAGATTAAATAATTTCTCTAAGTTTTCTTTCATTAATTCAGCTGTGACTGAGAAATTTTGGCAATGAGTTAAAACTACAAATTCAGCTGTTCTTTCTTTAATATTTTGCAGTACAAATTTATGAGGGATTCTTTCCATTTTCATTATTTTAAACATTTTTCATCTAAAGAACTTGATACTAAATTGTAAAAGTAATAATTATCTAAACTCATGATTTTTGGAATAGGAAGTTCTGGGTCTGATTTTATGACCCTGAAACTCAAAAAGCTGTTTTATGCTCAAGTCTCATGATCATCCTGGAACTAAGCTTCTAAATCCAGAAAGTGGGTATTTCCTGGTCCACAAACAAATGTACCAAAAATCAGACCAATTGAGAGTCTGTAGAGGATACAAATACAACAGACAGTGAGGCAGGCCACTGAAAATTTCATATACCATCTGCTACTCAGAAAACTCTAGATACTTATCCATTCTTTCAGAAGTGTTCCGTTATCTGTTAAAACACACAGTGTTTAATAATGCAGTCATTCAGACATTGTTATACTCATGTTTTCCACCTTACAACAAATAATGTGCTTCTGTGTGAATTAAACTGTGATTAGTCACATATTTTAGAATTCTTTAGAAGAGGTATCTTCATTTACTGATCATTTCCTTCTTTAACTATAGTATCTAAAAGATTTAATTTTAAAAACCTATTGCTTGTAGCAAAGTGTTCCACTCATTAAAAGAGTGAGACAGGCCAGTGCCACGGCTCACTTGGCTAATCCTCTGCCTGTGGCGCTGGCACCCCGGGTTCTAGTCCCAGTTGGGGCGCCGGGTTCTGTCCCGGTTGCTCCTCTTCCAGTCCACTTCTCTGCTGTGGCCCGGGAAGACAGTGAAGGATGGCCCAAGTGCTTGGGCCTCTGCACCCGCATAGGAGACCAGGAGGAGGCACCTGGCTCCTGGCTTTGGATTGGCACAGCACGCCGGCCGTAGCAGCCATTTGGGGGTGAACCAATGGAAGGAAGACATTTCTCTCTCTCTCTCTCTCTGTCTTTCTCTCTCATTGTCTAACTCTGCCTGTCAAAAAAAAAAAAAAGAGTGAGACAAACACATTTTTAATAGAATGAACACTAAAGTTAAAGGTAATTTTTTCAAGTGCCAAAAATCTAGGAATTAAAAGATGTCAAAACACTTATCAGTTGTTATGGAGACAAATTCTCAATTCCATGGATTTTATTACAATTTTATTTGTAATTTGTTACAATTTTATGGAATTTTTACAATTTGACAGAATTTTCAGAATCCAAATACAGATAATGTATAATATATGATTCACCCTGTGCACATTCCCATCCCCTGTACATACAGGTTTCATTTTTTAAAATGAAATGCATACTAGAATTTTATAGGCTTTCTATATGGCAAATGGATGTCATCTTTGACACACTCAAATATATCAGATGAGTTACTTATTGAAAAAGGTGTTTTGGACACTTAAGGCTAAAGCATATTGGAACCATGCCTGATGGGGAGAACATAAAATGAGGCAAATTCTTTGATGAGCTCTATGATACAGCAACCATTAACATTAACCACAAGACAGCCCAGTCCATATCCCACCCAAGACCGTGTCTGCACCACAGTGTGATGCACGATGCAAAGCTCATGGACTGCAGCTCTGCAGACAAACATGACAGAGGAGGCAGTGGTGTGGTCTCAGACACGTCAAGAAAACAAACTCATTGTATTGGGTTTCAGATTTGGCTATATTTTTAAAAATACCTTCCTGAACACATTTTAAAATTTACTAATATAACTTCTTGAGTTCTCAGAATTTTTTTTAATACATCATCGTTCTGAAGAATCTAATTGAGAGGCACTTTACTAACCATGTACTGCTTTGCAACCGGGTACATTGCAGTTACCATGGTAACTATATTATACACTTTTCTTTTAACCAGAATTTTTTAAGGTATTTTTTCCTTAGGACTGACAATTTCAAATATTGAGCACTGATGAATATTCACATTGTAAAAGGTTGAATTAGTCTTTTGGAGTTTTGCATTTGGCTAATTTTTGTATTGGGACACTTCCATTTAGAAATTGAAATTCAAAACAAGAAGCAAAGGAATGTGGTATGATAATACTAAATCCTACTTTCCTGAATTTAAAATATGAATATTACATATACTTCATATCTGTGTCTTGAAAATTCTAAGTCACATAAAATGCAAAACAAGGTGGTATTAGAACATAGCTTGTACCAATAAGACTTATGAATGATTGCTACAAAGTTATAAGCTTAGATGGAATAACCATAGGAAAAGTGGATGGAAAGAAACCTACAATAAAAATGTTAAAAATAGTGTTAAGATACAATGGAATATTATCCAATAACCTAAAAATGGAATATAAAAAACATATTTATGCCTGTAACAACAATTAAAGAATATAAAATCTTTCTGAAGAGACAGATTAGGTACCTGAAAGAGGGGTGTTTCTATGACAAATAACTAAAAATATAGGAGTAGTTTTAGAATTTGGAAGTGGAAAGAGGCTGATGGAATTTTGAAGAGCAGAATAGAAAAATATCCTAAATTTTGAACAGACTCTTACTAGAAATATAGACTTTAAAGATACAGCTGTTAAGGGCTCAGTAGGTAGTGAACAGAATGTTACTGGAAACTAAGAGACTAGCAATCCGAAATCCTTGCAACAAACGCCCTAAAGCTTAGCTTCAGTGGAAAAAAACAGAGTTTCTGAAAGATGGTTTGTAATATTTGCCCAAGGAGATTTCTAAGCAAAGTGTGGAAAAGTTGGCTTGATTCGCCTGCTTAATGTGTAGTTGACACAAACTATTCTAAATAAACAGGAACTAGAACTGAGATGATTGGGAAATTCTTAGCCTATGCAAATGACAAAAGATACTAAAATTAACTGATTGCTTCTGAAAGTTCATCATTAAAAAAAAAACACCCAAGAAGGTGTCTATAAATTCTTTGCTGAAATCTTTGAAAGATCAAAAAACTACAGGGTTCAGTCATAAGACTGTGTCTCATAGATTAGAGAGCTTCTAACAATTTCAAGAATGTTTTTGCCCATGAGCTTTATCAACAGAAGCCAAAGAAAGAGAAGGAGCTATCTCAAAAATGTCTGTGGATTTGTCCTCTCTCTAATGGAGAACATCATTGTGTCTTCCACAAGGTACTCACAAAGTTCTTGAAAAAATTATAACAGCAACACTGCCATCTTGGAAGCGAGAGCATAAAAACTGAAAGGAGACTCTTAGCAAAATTCTACTTGCAGGAAGCAGGCTAAGAAGACTACTCAGCTTCAGTCACATGCTGCTATTCATGAGAAAGGACGGATGTCAAAGGGCAGAACCAGTAGTCCAGAGGCTGTTGGTCCAGAGGGCAGGACTGATAGTCTATGGATGTGAGTCCAGGCTGTCCGACGCCTTGATGTTGGCCTGGTGAGACTCTAGTAAGTCCACACAGGCTTCTGGCCTCTAGAACTGTGAAATAATGAGTGGGTGTTGTCCTAAGCCACTTGGTCTATGTGTAATTTGTTATGCAGCAATGGAAGTCTAACACAGATATTGATAACTAGGCTTCCTAAAAGACTCTAAGGAATGTAGTTCATACAATTTAGAAGAAGGAATGAAGTGGTTCCTTGAGATTTTTATGTATACCTATGCCTGAACTGTTTACAAAATGCCTGCTCTGAAAAGAGTTTTTTAAATACTCAACTTTATAGGTAGTTTCTGTTAAAGTATATATGCATATATTCCTGGATCCAGGAACTGACTGGTTATTTTCTTCAAATCTGTCTCAGAGCACACATAGAGAAGTAGATTCCAAGTCTCTTCAGAACCGTAGTGTACACAGGACATTGTGCCATCTTGCATAGGAATTAATATTGTTCACTGAATTACTTATATTACTGAATTACTTATATAAGAACTATTACATATTAACAGAACCTACAGAATCACTTAAAAATCCATATGGCAAAATTTTGTTCTCCTTCCTCCACTTTCATCATATGATAACATAATTTAAGTCTTCTAATGAAGCAATGTGGCTGATATTCAAGTTTCTTTTTAATTTTTAAATTAAAAAAAAAGATTTATTTATTTGAAAGGCAGAGTTACATCAGGGAGAGAGAAAGAGCTCTTCCATCCACTGGTTCACTCCCCAGATGACCTCAACGGCCAGAGCTGGGCCTATCCAAAGTCAGGAGTTAGGACCTTCTTCTGGATCTCCCATGCAGGTGCAGGGGCCCAAGCACTTGGGCTTCTTCCACTGCTTTCCCAGCTGGATTAGAAGAGGAGCAGCCGGGAATAGAACTGGCGCCAATAAGGGATGCCAGCGCCACAGGCAGAGGCTTAACTTACTCTGCCACAGTACTAGCCCTTATAGTCAGGTTTTCTAGACATACATTTGGGATAGGAGTAGGGGTCTGGTAGAATGACCAAGTCAACATTAAGCATATCATATTGAGTATTTTCTTTAAGAACATCCAAAAAAATGGTATAGGGAAATAAAAGAGGAAGTTGTATGGTGTGTGAAGAATTTGCTAAAATATCAGAGAAAAATAAGTAATAGGCCAAAGTGGAAATACTAAAACTCTTTTAGAAGAAATTTATGCTTATTCTTCTTTTTTCCAATAAGGAAACTAGTAACTTTGTGTTCCTATTTTAAGGGATACTGTAGTGGTCAGGGTTCAATTGCAAAGAACAAGTCAAGGGCCAGTGCAGGGCACAGTGGGTTAAGTAGCTTTGTGTGATAGGAGCATCCCATATGACTGCCTGTTTGAGTCCTGGCTGCTCCACTTCCAATCCAGATCCTGAATGTGCCTGGTAAAGCTGTGGAAGATGGCCCAGGTGCACAGGCCCCTTGAAACCCAGGGGGAGATGCCTGGCCCAGACTTGGTTGTTGCAGACATCCTGGGAGTGAACCAGGGGATGGATAATCTCTCTCTCTCTGTATTTCCCTGTTTCTTCTTCTCTCTCTCTCTCTCTCACTTTGTCACTCTGCCTTTGAAGTAAATAATAAATAAACCTTAACTCTTTTTTTAATTAAAAGAGAAAATCTATATTAGTTAATTCAATAGCAAAGAGATTTGTGGGGCCACCATCATGGTGTAGTGGATAAAAGCCACCACCTGCAACACTGGATCAACATTTTGATCCAGCTCCCTGCTAATGACCTGGGAAAAGCAGTGGAAAATGTCTCAAGTATTTGGGCCCCTACCTTCAACATGGGAGACCTGGAAGAAGCTCCCAGTTCCGAGCTTCAGCCTGGCTATTTTCAGCCATCTGGAGAGTGAACCAGTGGATGGAGGATTTGTTAAGTCTTTTAGAAAAGAAGAAAATAAAAGAAAGAGATTTGTTAGAACATGTGGCATAACTTACAGTAAGCAAATAACCTTGAGCTTGCATTTCTAGAGCTGACTCCTCAAAACCTTTCACAGAACTGTCTGGACCCTCGAAACAAGTGCATATGGGAAGTGTTCTTAAGATTTCCAGGAGGGAATATTAGAAAAAGGCTGGCATATTTTTTCAAGAATTCACCACATCCCCCCAGGAGGGCCTAAAAATTTCAATTAAGAAGGCCTAGAAAAACTAAGCCTCTGTTTTGGAAGTAGTAATATAAAAAAATAAAAAAACTACAGGGTGATTTTTCCTGTGAATCGTCCCAATTTCAGGTTTTATTAAAATTTTGTAAATGATAATTTTCATTGTTTTTCAATATAACCTCTCTCCTAAGTGATTATGTTAAGCAAGGATAAAAGTGAGATTATTATTTTTCACTGACATTTATTTTGTACTTTTGTAAAAGTTGCTTTGTGACGCTGTTGTAGATCTGTTAAGTCTTCTAGTCATTTCTGATTTATCCCAAGAGTTCACGTGTGTCACCTGAGACAATAGGTTTGGGAGATCCTGCTGTCCTGAGAGGCCTGCTTACAGGCATACTTTGGCATTGAGCCCCTTCTTTATCTGAACTGACTTCAAAAATACTATTGTCAAAAATAACATCAGCTTACAATGGGCTTACAGCTGTGACGGTAGTTTTAGTAACTGAGTCAACCTCAGGCCAAGAGCCATGTGCTGGCTCAAGTCATATGTTAGGGTATTATTTTCTATGACTTACACCCAGAGCACTGGGGCTTAGATACAGGTAATCAGAAAGAAGACTGGAAAACAGTAGAGAACAGTTCCCTCCCTGCGTTAACGTACACCAAAAAGTAGGTATTTTACGATGAGTTGACATTGACTGATTAGCATAGCTGCCATCCGTGAGCACTGGGAGGAGCTGCAGTGGGCTTGATTATTGTTCCCTAGTGCAACCTGATGGAATTAACCATTTCTTATTCTAATGTTTGTTAAACTTGTTTGTGTGACTGTGAAATGAAGCGGAACTTAGAGCTGCTGAGTAACAGTAAGAAATGACTAATCTAAACCAACTAATCTATAGTGTAGGCTAAGGCTAGAAGGAAAGCCAGAGCGCACTCAAAGCAAGCACTTGGGGTGGTGGAATGAATTTTCTTAACCTTGGCCCTCTCTTGATAACTGATCATGTTTCCTTTAGTCTCCTCTTCCCTTTTGGCCACTTGTCCTTTGTGAAGTTGAAAGAAATCTGCCTGGTTATTCTCCCTCCTCCCCCAACCCCACCCCTTTCCCGTCATTACTGCTGTGCCCTGGAAGTAGAAATGATGATGGGGATGGTGACTACTACACATATATGCTTTGAACTGAATGACAGCAGAAAGAGTATGAAGGAAGATAGCTAAAGCTAAAGCAGCCATTTAGCTCAGTCTATGCCTATTAATAGTGTCCCCTTTCATTTTCCAAACTGTCGTGGTTTGGATGATGAATAGCATGGGCACCCTAGTTATAACAAAGATGATCAGGGAAAGTGTAGGTACCTTCTCTAAAAATGTTCATAAGGGTGACGATTTGGCAGAATTAACAAATTATTCTCTTACTAATAATCCTAAGGGGACATTAGCCTGTCCTAATCTCTGACTATTCTTTATACTCTTCAGAGCTATTTAACTTTGGTGGTGCTTTCAAATATTTAAGCAAGTGTTCTTGTTTACATACATGAAAACTGAGCTTTCCCAAATTCTGGTTGATTTATAATAGATGAGAGGTTGTTTTCCAGTCAGTATTTTTTTAAACTTTTGCTATTGAAAATTCTTATTTGATATTATGTTTCAGAAATATAAGTGGAAATTTAGTCAAATGTATTTGCTATGACTTTTAAAAATGTTTTTCAAGGATACAACTGTTGTTAATAATTTTTGGTAAGAAATATTTGAAATACTAAGCAAGTGGAAAAAAATAAAATGGTGGATGTGTCCTACAGATACCTTAATATTATTTCTGTAACTTATGATTTTCAAAGGGTATTTTGTTATGTTTCTGGGTTTATTATACTTTACAGAAAATGTTCCTGGCCTCAAACCAGATTTTCAGTAGCAAGTTATTAATTTTTATTATAATTGAAAGTGATATTAATATTTTGAGGGAATTTAATTGAATCCCAGATGAGGTTTTTTCTTTGTGCTCCTTTCTGATGGTAACTTTATGGTAGGTTGGATAAATAGAGCTCACTGCAAAGACCTAGGTTTTAGAGTTCCCGAGAAGGTTGTAACATGCAGAAATTCACAGTATCACTTAGGATATACTTAAAAGAAGGTATAGGGATTTTTGAGAAGCCGTCAAGGCCTGCTATCAAGAAAATAAGAGACAGGAGTAAACTATCCCATGAACAGAATTGCCAGAGTCTTCCTTCAGCATTCAGAATACAGCTCTCAATACAGCCAACAGACTTTCAGCTTAATTTCTTTCATACCTTGATAGCAATTAACATAACTCAGTAACCCCTTCTGGACCATGAAATAAGACAATAGAATTCCAAAGGCATTTTATAGTACATTCCTTTCTGTAAAAAATGTCATCCAGAGATCATTCAGTATCCATTTCTTCAGTATTGTTTTTCCCAGTTACTAAATATTAGCACTTTTATTAGGTGAAATTTGCCCTGAGGTTCTGCTCTCCCAAAGATAACTTGGGGTTAATGACAATGTCACACTTTCATTCTCAGTTTTTAAATGAAGTATACTTATTGCCAAAGGAAAGTTTCATACAAAACTGCAACCCATGACTGTGTGATTGAATTGTGTATTTTAGCCTTCTGACTTACTGAGACTATTAAATTACAAGTGGTCAATGCTATATTATGAGTTAATAAAAAGGGCATTTTTGTTATGTACAGAAACAGGGTTTTATTTTTCTGAGCAGACATTCTATTTGCCTGTGTATGCAACGGGAGAACATGGGTACAGGGAGCTCTTAACTGCATCACTGCTGAGGGATTGAGATGTTTTTTAGAAGACTGTGTGGAAGGGAGAGAAAGCAGGGGAAGCGAGGATCTGCCAGTTCTGTGCTTCATCCTGCTGTTGACAGTATTCACAACTGCTGGTGCTTCCTAAATGCAGCAGGCTTGGGTTCAGGTGTTTAATTGTTGAGGAGATAGTGTTCCTGTCTGATTTGCAGTCACAAAGTACTTAACCATGTTGCTGCCCACACCACTATGTTTTCTCATTCTGGACAACAGAGGAGGCTCTGAGCCTATTTTACACTAAGGATAAAAAAGAAAATGAGCTAATAGCTGGAGGCACTGGAGCAGAAGGAGTCCCGGGGTCCCAGTGACCTTGAGGACTGGACCCTGGAGGGAGATGAGATTTAGCTCACACTTGGTAATTTAAACCAGGCTCTGCCTGAGCCTCAGTTTATCTGTGAGGACAAATCAGACGTTCCATTGTAGCCAATTGTCAGGGGGAAGAAGGAGAATCTGTGTGAACCTTTAAGGAAAACCAAGACTTAGTGTTAAGTAGGCAGAGCTCAGTGTGAGCCAACGCAGCAAGTAAAGAGCCAGTCACACTTTAATCTCCACCTTAATCTCACCAAGTTCTGAGGTCGACAGTTTTTTTATTAAAAAAAGATTTTTTTAAAAAAAAAAGAGCTGTAGAAAGGGAGAGAGAGAGGTCTTCCATCTGCTGGGGCACTCCACAAATGGCTGCAATGGCCAGAGCTGCACTGATCTGAAGCAGGGAGCCTGGAGCTTCTTCTGAGTCTCCCACGTGGTTGCAAAAACCCAAGAACTTGGACCATCTTCTGCTGCTTTCCCAGGCCATAGCAGAAAGCTGGATTGGAAGTGAAGCAACCGAGACATGAACTGGTGCCCATATGAGATGCTGGCACTGCAGGTGACAGTTCTACCCACTATGCCACAGTACCTGCCCTGGGTAGAACAGACTTAAAGTGCTTTTAAATTCACCTGCATAAGCACCCATCACAATTGCCAAAAAATGGCAACAACCTAAGTGTTCATCAGTTGATGAACAGATAAAGAAAATGTACTATGTACACACAATGACATACTTTTCAACCATAAAAGTGATGAAATCCTGGTATTTGGGACAACATGGATGGAACAAGAGGTCATCATGTTGAGTGATATAAGCCAGGCACAGAAAGACAAGTACTGAGTGATCTCTTTTCTATGAAAAATCTAAGGGGCTGATGGCACTGTGGCATAATGAGTAAGCCGCTACCTGTGACGCCAGCATCCCGTATGGGAGCCGGTTCATGTCTTGGCTGCTCCACTTCCAATCCAGCTCACTGCTAATGCACCTAGGAAAGCAGTGGAAGATGGCCCAAGTAATTGGGCCCCTGCACCCATGTGGGAGGCCCAGATGAAGCTCTGGGCTCCTGGCTTTAGCCTGGCTGAGGATTGGCCATTGTAGCCATATTGGAGTGAACCAGCAGATGAAAGATATCTCTCTCAGTCCTTCTCTCTGTGTAATTCTTTCAAATAAACAAATGAATCTTTAAAAATTAAAAAGAATCTTTAAGAAGCTGCTGTCATTTTTGAAGTTGGAGTAGAATCACATTACTAGAGGCTGAGGAGAGTAGCAGGGAAGGAGGGCTGGGGGAAGGTACTGGGTTTTAATTAGGGGTAAGACATTCTGGTGCTCTGTTGACCAGGAAGGTGGCCCTAGTTCCCAATAATGTGCTATCGGTATTTATTTCCTCCAGAAGTGAAGATTTTTAAATTAGCCCTGCTTAGAAGTTAAGATAAAGTTTCATTAGCAGAGAAAAGCTTTCTAGGGATGAATATTACAGTCTTTTAAGAATTAACCAGGCCAATCCCTGCCTCCCATTGGGTTATGACTGTTTAGAAATCAGAGTTTCAAAGCCTTTTTACATTGCCGTCTGTCTTTTCCTAGTCAATAAAGTGTATACTCTACCCAAAGCAGAACATTCCAATAAAAACATCCCCTTTTTTTCTTAGTCCAAGAGCCATTAGAATACTTCACTTTGGCACAACACTAATCAGATAACATAGAAGGAGGTCTGAGGGAACATTTTTAATTGCATATAACAAGCTGAAGATATAAAATGAGAAGAATTGAGAACAATAGCACAGAAGGGTTTCCTGTGACTACAAAGAAATATTCCAAGACTCTGTGTTGGGGGGGGGGGTTTCTTGGAGGGAGTGAGCCACTTTGGTACTGAGATATTTTTTCTTTGTAACAACCAGTGGGTAATTAGAAAATCTCTAAGGTCTCATTAAACCCTAACTTTCTAGGCTGTTGCTACCATGGGTCATCCTAAGTAAATGAGCAAGATAAAACATTCATCTAAAGAGAAAGCTGAAATAATCAAAATGATATTTACGTAGCATTAAGCATGTACAGTTCTCAGAAGGGGGGGGGTAGAAAGGGAATTTAAGAGGGAGAAAGAAAAGAGCCATTTAGAATGCTACCACGTTGTGGATGGTAAAATAGTGGCTACAGTCACAGCTAAAATAGGGTAAATGGCACTGATAAAAGTATCAGGTGCTCCACACTGGGCTTCAACTGTGTGTGCATGTTATCTCATGAAATCCTATGAAGCAAACTCTAACAAAATCCCCATCTTAGAAGTGAGAGGTCTGAGACGTAAAGAGGTGCCCTTACCTGTTCTAGGGCCTGTGCCCTCTTGTAGCTGTGCTTCATAACCTTACAGGGTACACATCATCTACTGATGTGGGTAATGGTTGCCCCTTACAGGGAGCAGAGGATCCCGGAGGTTAGCTGGCCTCTCCAGGGTTACACACAGACCCCCATGACAGAGATGTTAACCCAGGCCTTTGTAAACATGTTCTTTCCACTATACCATGCTAAATGTTCCC